CTGGGCTCTGCCGGGGCTCTGCCTGGATCGACCGGGGCTCTTCCGGCGTCATCCGGGAACGACCGGGGAAGCACCGGCATGAACCGTAGCTTCACCTGGGCTCTGCCTTGATGATCCGGAGCGCATCCTGGGTGGTTAGTTGGGAACTACCGTAGTGCTGCCGGGGTAAGTGTGACCGCAACAATAATTTCACCCCGGATCGTCCCGGATCATCCCGGTAACTTACCGGGATGGTCCTGAGCTCTGCCGGGAGTAAGTGAGACCGCAGCTTTAGCTACCTAAATCAATCATTGACATTCAATATGTTAAGATCAGACAGAACCTTATTTGTTACAGAAGTCCTCGGGGTATAGTCTTTTATAAAACGCACCACCTTAGGCCTAAAAAAAAAAATAGTTTTGTTCGGGTCACCCGACCCTACCTAATAATATGCGCCGACCCTACCGTTTTTTTTTTTCGTGTCCAAAAAAAAAAATCGATGAAAATACCGTATTATTGGAGGTACGGTACGGCAGTGCTCATCCGGAAGGGCAATTCAGGCGAAAATTTCTCTGTGTATATTTCCATTTCGCTCTCTCAGTTGATCAAAGAGAAGTCAACATCGCCGATAAAATCTTAATTCCCTAAGAGTAATTACTTGCCGATGTAAAGAGCAGAGATTGTATCCGCCCATATGACGACTGCTAATTATCATTATCCAATCAGAGCGTCGCTATATAGTATAATACTACCCTTCTACCTGTATGCAAAGCGATAGACAGCCTACTCTAAACAGTAGATCATCGGCCCAAAACGGGTATATTTTGCGAGTTTAATACGGGATTTGGCGATAATTATAGATTATTTTTTTCCGATCATCTAAACACGTGCAAATCTTCCCTAATTGATATACACGCGGTGTTTAACCTGTGCAATGGGTTTTTCACGGCTATCACAAAACTGTTAGTCAATTAAAAATAATTAATTTCATTTGGATGACATCAATTAAAAATTGTAATGTCGCTCACGTCATGGCTTAGGGTGAAATGCCCAAACCTAGCAGTAAAAAAAAGTTACTGATTCTGATACACCTAATACACGCGAAAATTTAAGAAAGCCAATTCGCAAAAATCTTTATATGATTGGTATGTTGTAGAAAGTGAGAGTGTTTTGCATTGTTATCTTTGTAGAAATGCCAAATTTGACACAGCTTGTATGCACGTGGGCACGACATCCTAAAACTACGAATCATGATCGGCATGCGATCGCGTATATCATGTGCTCATGTATATAACAAAAAAAATGTCAGGAAAGAAGTGTTCTTATTGTTTCAATATATATATTTGTTTTAATGTCATAAATATGACGCTCAGATTAAGATTTATTAATATTGTAATTTTCAAAAAGCCTTATTTATAAAGATATTACCGAGTTTAACATTTCATGAAAATAAAGGGAGGTAATTAGAAATTTATTTTCTATAATTTCTCAGTTGAATTTTTCAATAAGAAATGAATGAATATAATTTAAGTGATCAAATATAATGTGCACAAATGTTTGCAGTACAAATTTTACATATTCTTCGATATTTGAAAATTGTTTTATAAGCATAATTATATGCACATAAATGTGGCATTACAACTTAGAAGATCATTAAAGAAATTTCTGTAAACAGAACAGGATAGACAGATTTTATTAATCAATATCCAATGTAACTTTATCTTCTGTTAAAAGTGAGGAAAGTAAAAATATAAAGTTAATTTATTCATCATATTTTTTCTTACACATTATTATCAATAAATCTACATGAAAATATATAAACAAATATTTAAAGAAAGCTTATAAATAGCTGATAAATAGATTGTGTTTCTATTCTAGTTAAAGGATGTATAGCCATGCATGTTAATGCATACATATTGGGATGTTTCCTTTCTGCCGATTTGGCGGATCACATCGTCAATATTTGTAAAACGGCGTGTGATCTTCACCAGAAGAACACCGAGAGTTTAAGATTGTTACACCTGAAATGTCTTTTGAAAACATAGAAGGGATGTATTTGTGCCACCCGGGAGGGATGTCAGAAATTTCCATATCTACATTTCAATATACTGGTGAATAATAATAAAAAAAAAATCCGACCTACCCTACCTATTCCTTGAGAGCATGTTACCCTAACAAAACAATTTTTTAGGCCTTATTGTGAGCTACTTGACGTTGTGCTTCAGTGACTGACTCAGTCCTTCGTACCAAGAAGAGGAAGAATAATCAAAGTGGCACAGCAAAAGGGCAGGACATGATTGTTTCTTTATTTCTTCCGATTAACAATTGTGTAACGGTATAGGTAATGTTGTTTTCCATTCGCCTTTGAAAAAATGCTCTTGACATGTTTTTTTTTCTCCTGACAGGGAACAATCGATATTCAAACCAGGATATTTACCTTTAGACGAAGAGTTTATTGTTTGATTATTACCTGAAATAGAAACTTTTGTATTTCTTTTAACTTTTGATTTAGTAACAAATAACATACATTCAGTCTTGCCCAGATGTGAGGATAATTAATTGTCAACGAACCAATCAAAACATCATTCCAAAACCTGTCTCTGTTTTTGAAGTATAATTTTTGGATCCTTGTGAAAACAGTATTGCACTATCATTTGCAAATAAAATTAACTTCAGAACCAGCATCTATACTAGTTACCATGTCATTATATATAACGTAGCAGAGAAATGGAAGAGGACCAAAAATACTGCCCAGAGGGACCCCACATCTAACAAGGCTTGATTCTGAAACAGTTTTACCGATATTTACTTTCTGATACATTCCTAACAAGTATCATTAATTAAAACCAACAAATAGATTTTACACCTTACATAGATTTAATTTATCACCCAAAATATTATGATTGACGGTATTAAGTGCTTTTTTGTAAGTCTAACATAACCATACCAGTGAGTAACTCTCTGGAGATATTTTTACAGATTCAGTCAAGTATGTAAATAAGACACGTACGTGTCAGTTCAAATGAGATTTCCGAAACCAGACTGGTGTTCGTAATTAAATGATTTTGTTCTTAAAAATGACTCCAATAGTACATGTATGTCGCAACGGGGAAGAAATGAGAATATTGAAATTGTATATTCAGTCATAAGTAACATAAAACGTATAAAGCTATAACGTGAAATAGAAATACAAAAATATATCTAATAATATGTTATTCTAGACTATTCACGTTTTTAATTTGAAAATATGTTTTAATCAATCAGAACTGATGTTTGTGTCATCAACATACTGTTTGTCAATTTCTGTCTTATAGCAAATTGAACTCACGTTTCTCGAGCGTCTTTATCAAGTCATTTCATTTCACTGCAAGATGCTAAAAATACATGCAGGAGTCCTACAAGAGTTGTCAGCAAGACAGCGCGGTGTTTGATAGTAATAAAGCTTTAAGAAGGTTACCTTCACAACAAACGTATAAGACCCGAGATAGCTAGAGCACTATTCTATTATTTGGCACCCCTTGCAGAAATATCTTGCTTACAATGTTAAAAGTGTACTCAGAGCTGCGACTGAGCATGTCTGCTATACATGTAGCGATGATTTCAACAATAGAGTCACGGATATGTTAAATATATAGGTACTACAGTGGACAACTTTCTATCAAAGAAGGGTCAATAATTCAGTAATAATTCTATACAAAAGTCAAAACAAGAACATATAATTTTGCCGAGACCTTGGCATCAATTAATTTAAAAAAAAACAACTTTTATTTTTATCCTTTTATAATACCTAGGGTAATTACGACCTCGAATTAATCAAGCACCTATATATATATTATATATAATGTTAAAACTAATTTAACATTGTTAGCTTTCCATGACAGCGCCTCCAAGTCAAAATCGTCATTTTTTGTTCAGGAGAACCAATAAATTCATGTTCAATATGCATCACCTGTTTGGCTGAAATTAATCTCCCGTCTATGCCGAAGGTCCACCTTATATACGTTAACCAGAAATATGCACCCATTATCTCTCTAATAAATGCATGTTCCTATTACTACTTTAAATTCTGTACTCATTCTTTACAAATAACACAGTTTGGAACAAACTCCCTAGCCATATTATTCGTTCACCCCATGTCCGACATAGGGTTATTTCCTGAAAACGGACAATAGTACGGTATTATAGTTTAATTGACCATGCACGGTCGTGGTTTGACTTTTGGTGTTTTTACTTTGTCATCTTTTGACTTTGTTTCTCACTGTTAACAAATTCCCCATGACTAGAAGTCTCACCTATCTTGATGTAACAGGTATTATACATTGCTATTGTACATGTATAATGTAACTATATTGTTTTTAACAAAATTTTAATAATAACTTTATATAAAATTGTAATATTCAACCTTCTATGTTAAGGTTTAGTTAATAAAAGTGTAAGCCACTAAATTCCACTTACTTTATATTAAAGGCACCCTTTAATGTTTATGTATAACTTATGTAAAAAAAAATAATTTCTTTCAAAAATTGAAATGTATTATATTGCAAGTTATATATTAATAATGTATTAGGCCTACTTAAAGTAAAAATTGTAATGTATTTTACAGGTCACCTTGTAATTCAACTTGTAACTCACCTTGAAACTTATGTTTAAAAATTGAAAAAAAGTAGTTTACCAAGTAAAATAAACTTTTGTGTAAAATACATGTATATGTAATCACGGTAATATAAATCCGTGATGTAATGTACTCATATCAGGTGTTTTTATAAACAAAATAATCAATATTAATTAAAACTGCTACATAATGTTGCTTTTTTATGTTTTAAACCATCATTTAAATATAACCAAAACCTAACCAAAACAACATTGACATGCTTAAATTTCTGGACACATACTTTTCATTCGCCTGTTTCTAGTACTAACAATCGTGATGTAACGCTTGAGTAAGAAATTAGCGGTATTCAACCTTTTAGTTTTCGTGTAAAGTCACATGATACACACGTGACGTGTATCCGATAAATTTGGAAGTATTCCAAATGGAACATAATGAGAAATCCCCGGATGTGGACGTCATAGTAAAACAAAACGGAAAAGACACAAATACATAAATTACGTGTTGAAAGGAAACATTTTAAGGTTTTGACTGTGATAGTTCAATTAAGTGACTTTCAATCTACGTTTATAATGTCAACACCAGCAAGAAGAAGATTAATGAGAGACTTTAAAAGGTAAATTATGTGTGACCTACGGTTTGTTTTCAGCTGAAAAAATGGCTGCCGTTGACTAATAATACGCAAATAAACATTCTGTTTACTGTCATTATAACGTGAACTTTTCGTTTTTACAGATTACAGGAAGATCCTCCAGCTGGTGTTAGTGGTGCTCCAACAGACAACAATATTATGCTATGGAACGCTGTTATATTTGGGTAAAAAATACTTGTTTGTTATTGAAACTGAAAGTGATGTCATCAAAGTAATGGAATTCCATATTGACCGAACACCAAACACATTACTCATGTTTTGTTGGTTTTTATTAATTAAATAACGTTTATGTCAAAATATCTATGATAAATAGAAAGGGAGTGTAGAAAAGATTTTGTTGATCCACTATTCATTCTAGTTCTTAAAGTTCCATTTGTTTAGATACATAATATGAAATTAGGCGAAGCCTATGAACGGGGAAGTTGGTAAAAAATCCCTTCATTTTTCCATTTTAAAGGTGTCATTTGGTATTATAATTTATATGTACCCGCTTCCATTTATTCTCGGAACACTCAGCGATGATTATTAATCCGAAAAGTTGAGATTTGTTCGGTAATTGGAATACACCGCCTTTTTATCACTGAGTTACATTGTAAATGGCGGCGCCTAACTAGAACTGGCACTGAAAATTTCATTGATAGGAAAAGAATTCTATATATTTTTTAATTGTTTTTTTATTTGATTTTCTTTTAAATACACACATGTAGTCTATAGTCAGGCAAGTCAAAGCCCGGGTCCACTTGGCGAGACTGGGCTTTGACTTCCCGTATGAAATCTGATGTTATCCACAATCGTTATGCTTGTTTGGTTCCAATAAACAGACCAATCCCAGTCAAAAGTACAGTCATAATTTTGCAATTCCGAACAAAAGAATCACAAATATATCACTATGAGTTATTATAATAATACACGGATTGAGTGTCAAACAATGTGTTGAAATATATACTGAGATGAAGCTAAGATCACAAGCTTTTCATTGATGTAAAAAAAAATAAAAAAAATGGGACAATAATTGCCCCAAACTAGCATTTTAAAAACTGTCCAATTTGTATTGTTTTAGCATTAATTAGAGATATCAATTTTACTCAAGAACTTGTGTTTTTTCACTCGATATACCTCGGTTACTTAATTAGTTCATATAGAGACTGTCAATGGGTGTATTGTTGAGTAATGAATCCCTCAAAAATAATCAATTCAAATTTAGAATGTGCCACTGGTACATTAACCAGCATAATTGAAATATTTAAAAAGAAACAAAAATGGAGACATTGATCTATATGGAAAGATAAATAAAAACAAGAAATATGATTATATAGAATTTGCTTAAACTTTGTTATCAACAAATCACAGTTTTGGTTGGTAATTCACATTGCACATGTTTTCAAATTAGACTTGACCTGGATCCTTTCTCAAGTAAATAAAAAATGCCTGTGATATTTTTATTAACATGTTAGGCTAGAATAATCAATTTAGTACTAAAATTTAGTAAACATAAATCCATAGTGACGTACTGACACTACAAATGATAAAATTACTAAAATTGTCAGTTACCTTGCTTAACTAAAATAAACTGAACAGTACTGTAAATTAATTGATTAGAAATAAAATATAAAGAACAGTCTACTATTGCTTGATTTCCAAGTCTGTGTTGTAAACCAGTAACACGAAGAAATTGGTCTGTTTTTTTTTTCTAAAAAAAAAAAAACAACTAAATTTTCTACACACTGCCAATGTACCAGAAAAAAGATAATTTAAAGTGTTTGTTGTGTTTTAGAAGACATTTCAAATACTTACAACAGTGGGGTTACTTCTGTTTACACTGTGGCAGTTTTGGGTAATCAGCTATAGACAAGCAAAAGGAATGACAAAAACGGATTTTCAATATTTTTTATGTGCGAAAGGTGCATTATTTTATTCAAAGATGATCCATTTTATATGATGTCTGTTTTTACTTTTCAGTCCACATGATACACCATTTGAGGATGGAACTTTCAAATTAACTATAGAATTCACAGAAGAATATCCTAATAAACCCCCTACTGTTCGATTTGTTTCTAAAATGTTTCATCCAAATGGTAAGCTATTTTACAATTTTAATAGAACTTTTAAATGGTAACCATGATCGAGTGTGCTGAATTAAAATCACTTAGCCCCTGCAGATGTTGTTTTTAGCTCACCTGTCACAAAGTGACAGGGTGAGCTTTTGTGATCGCTTTTCGTCCGTCCGTCCGTAAACTTTTACCTTATATGACATCTCCTCATAAACCAGTAAGCAAATTTCATCCAAACTTCACAGGAATGTTCCTTTGGTGGTCACCTTTAAAAATTGTTCAAAGAATTTAATTCCATGCAGAACTCTGGTTGCCATGGCAACCGAAAGAAAAAACTTTAAATATCTTCTTTTAAAAAACCATAAGAGCTAGAGCTTAGATATTTGGCATGAAACATCTTCTAGTGAGTGTCTACCAAGTTTGTTCAAATAAAAGCCCTGGGGTCAAAATTGGCCCCGCCCCAGGGGGTCATTGATTTTCCTTATATGCATATAGTAAAAACTTAAAAAATCTTCTTTTAAAGAACCCAAAGAGCTAGAGCTAAGATATTTAGCATGAAACATCTTCTAATGGGTGTCTACCAAGTTTGTTCAAATAAAAGCCCTGGGGTCAAAATTGGCCCCGCCCCAGGGGGTCATTGATTTTCCCTATATGCATATAGTAAAAACTTAAAATATCTTCTTTTAAAGAACTCAAAGAGCTATGGCTAAGATATTGAGCATCAAACATGTTCTAATAGGTGTCTACCAAGTTTGTTCAAATAAAAGCCCTGGGGTCAAAATTGGCCCCGCCCCAGGGGGTCATTGATATCTTCTTTTAAAGAACCAAAAGAGTTAGAGCTAAGATATTTAGCATGAAACATGTTCTAATAAGTGTCTAGTCTACCAAGTTTGTTCAAATAAAAGCCCTGAGGTCAAAATTGGCCCCGCCCCTGGGGGTCATTGATTTTCCCTATATGCATATAGTAAAAACTTTAAAAATCTTCTTTTAAAGAACTCAAAGAGCTATGGCTAAGATATTTAGCATCAAACATGTTCTAATAGGTGTCTACCAAGTTTGTTCAAATAAAAGACCTGGGTTCAAAATTGGCCCCGCCCCTGGGGTCATTGATTTTTTTTATATGTGTATAGCAAAAACTTAAAATCTTCTTTGAAAAAACCCAAATAGCTAGAGTTTGGATATTAAGCATGAAACATCTTCTAGTAAGTGTCTACAAAGTTTGTTCAAATAAAAGCCCTGGGGTCAAAACTGGCCCGGCCCCAGGGGTGTCATTGTTTTTAACTTTATGTGTATAGTAAAAACTTTAAAAAAATCTTCTTTTAAAAAGCCCAATGAGCTAGAGCTTAGATGTTTAGCATGAAACATCTTCTTATGGGTGTCTACCAAGTTTGTGCAAATAAAAGCCCTTGGGTTAAATTGGCCCTGCAACGTTGGTGGGGGTTGGGGGGGGCCTATATACAGGTGAGCGACCTCAGGGCCATCATGGCCCTCTTGTTAAATCTACCTACAGATGAATTATTAATGTGAGGAAGTTGTGGTACTGTGGTGACTTGATAAAGCTGCTTGCTCATATCAGAAATTATGTGCTTATTAGTGACGAGTATTATGATTGATGTATTTATATATCCATTGTCTTTGTAATAAAAGAAATTGATGGTAGTTTTCTGTATATTCTTTCCAAAATCAATTTTTTGTTTGGCAGAATTTGAAGGTATTGTGTTCAAATATGGTCATCTAGCTGTATTAAGTGATATATTATTATACGGTATCCTGTCTATATTTCTAATATATATTGAAACCATAACTACAGTGGTTTTTTTCTTTATATAACTACTACCCTAAAACGGTACCATTCCCAATAGAAAATAGACATTAAAATTCCCAATTTCCAATGTTAAATTCCCAAAATGGCTGTTCAAAATGCCCACAAGGCCAAGTGATTTTTCTAAAATCATTTAAATCCAACATATTCATATAAATCACCACTCAATAGTTCTATCTGGACAGTAAAAGCTGTTAGCTATCTTTATTCATGATGCCTAATCTCATTTGTAGCTGAAAAAAATGCATTAAAAAATTCCCAATTTTAGTCAAAATAACGCATTTTTTCCCAATCAGTCTGGTACTGGCACCATTCCCAAAGTAGAGAAAAAAAACACTGAACTATGTCTCCTAATATGACACCAGCATCAGTGTGTGTGCTTAGTTGCCAAGAAGCAGCCCTGAAAGTGGTTGAAATAAGCTTTAAATTTTCTTAATCTTTACAATCATGCATTTACAAATAAAGATTATACTTATTGACACAAATCATTTTTGTTTATTGTCAAGATTTCTGTCATTTTTGTATCTTTCCATCTTAATGGTTTTCTTTTTTCAGTTTATGCGGATGGAAGTATATGTTTAGATATTTTACAAAATAGATGGAGTCCTACTTATGATGTTTCTGCCATTTTAACTTCTATACAGGTATAAAAATTATAATTTTAAGATTTTGCTAAACATGTATAAAAATTTGTCAGCAATTCTTTGAATGTATAAATATTAAAGAAGATTCAACTTTAAGAAATCAAGAATAATCTGCTGTGTTGTGAGTAAATTTTATCCCTCCAAATGAATTTGATGAATTTTCGGAGCCAGTTTAGTGTATAGAATTTGAGTTTAATTTGGTTAACATGTTTATTTGTTTAGATAATTTTGGATAGTTGCTTTATGTTTCCAATGTGTAATAAAGGCGTATTAATAGGTTGGTGATTCTACTTGAGATTTGTAAAAAAATAAGCTCTTCTCTTATGTGTGTAATAGACCTGAGAGCCCTGTTTGTCCAGCATTGCTTATGTCATTATTATAAAATCAAAATGTTCAAATTGAGCATGCAACATTATTGATAGGATACTTTGCAAAGATATACATGCTGATTTTGTTCTTTTTGGTAACTTGAGCAAGAACATTATTATTAAAATTGCCGAAAAGTTTATAAACTGGTACAGTTTTTGGTATTACTTTTAAGAGTCTTTGTCTTGATTATTATTTCTAGCTTACTACATGTAGGTCACTTTTTACTGACTTAGCAAGACTTTAAAATAGAAAAGTGTTTATAGTTAGTCCTCATATTCAAGGAATTTAAAAAAAAACAAAACTGATGATGAAATGACCCTAGCATTTGTTAATTCAGGTCATTATTGTCATAATGACTAAGTAAATGTACAAATAATAAAGAATAGAAAATATGCTTATTGGTATTTAACTTAATAAAGATTAATATGACTGTGTTGTGATAACATGTAGAGAATCTGAAAGAAACTGCCAATATGTTTACATCAAGTCCACATGTTTATTTGTCCATTGTTTGTGTCAGTTAGTATATGTGTAGATTAATATGTCATCATTCCATTTGTCATCATGATCACCATCATCATTCCACTTTAACCCTGTCACCAAACAAATAAACTTGTTGATTGTCTCAAAATATATCCCAGTTAACAGTTTAATTGATTATGATCGGATACATTTTATGGGGCACTTCAAAGTTTTTTGCTTTTTTTTACAATTTTTTTAGGAAAAAATGTGTTTGTGGGAATAATTACTTATATGATGTTTTTGAAAAAAAATCTAATGGTTTGTGTTAGAAATGTTTGAAAATGAGAAAAAGGTTTGAAATTTTAAGAAATATTTTTTTCTTGATTATTAATTTATTAATTAAACTTATTTTTTAGTCTCTACTTCACGACCCCAATCCAAATAGTCCAGCTAACAATGAAGCGGCCCAGTTGTATAGGGAAAATCGTCGGGAATACGAGAAAAAAGTCGCTGCAATAGTTCAAGAGAGTTGGAATGATGATGATGAAGATGATGATGACAACGCATAGCATTCAGTGATAACATAGACCTGACCTTTTCAAAAAAAAAATATAACTTTGTGGTGATGATATAATGTTACACTTCGACGTCTTTCAAAATGTTGAAAGATCTGCGACTGGAAGTTTTTTGTGATCATATACAAGATATTCCAGTTCCTCCCCAAGTTTTATTAAGGGAATAATTATGATATTCACATTATTCCATTTTAACTTTATGTAAATTTGTTGTGTAACAGAGTACGCAATAAGTGTATGGACATTTAACAAACAAAAAATAGTAATACAAAAGTGAATTGAAAATCAGTTTTACATCACCTTTAATTATAAGACAGACTTGGGTTTTGTTTTCCTGTCTTAAAAAATGGCACATTCAGTAAAATTTTAGTTTTGAACTTTTGAGACCAACAAAATGTTTTGACAATTTTTTTTGTATCAGAGATGACAGTATCCCTATGATATGGCACTAAATTACCTACAAACTTGTTAGATGTATAATTTAAAAAACTTCTGAATTGTATAAAGGAAATATTTAAAAAAAAGGGGAAAAAAAACATTTAGTTGCCAGGCTTTTATTCATGCACCATTGGTATGGTTAAAGAGTGACACCCCACCCTGTTCTGGCTCTAGTATTATTATAACAGTAGTGTCAGTGGTATTCATCATCTTATAGTCACATGATTTAGTTGTTGCTAAATGTACAAACATTTATTATGATAATAACCGTATCTGTTTTACTTATAACTCAAAACTCCCCCAACAAAGTCTGCTTCAGCCATATTCATGTATTACGAAACAAATTTGTGCTATTTTTATGAAAACATTTGTTATGAATGAACATTAAGATTTGATTTTTCAGTCTCAAGTTTTAGATAAGGGTGCCTACATATTTTTTTTTCTGTATAAGGGTAGGTTTCAGATTTTTTTTTTTTTTTAGCTTTTTTCTTCAAATTTTTTTTTTTGTAAACTGCTTGTTGCTTGAAAATAATATATTTGAAATATGTATAACATCTTTATACCTAAGCATTACCTTGCTGTACTTGGAAGTGATTATCCTTTGCCGCCATTAACTGTAGAGATGCCAGTCTGTATATCAATGCAGTCTGACCAGGCTCTAGTCTATAATATTGCCTTACTAACTTGAAATTTTCATCTTGCTATCCCTTAAATTGATAATGGACTGTTCCAAATTCAAAGCAGGGCAAATCCATTATACAATTTCAGCAGAGTAAGGATTATGGGGCTATTTTGATTGGATGGCATTAGTTATTCAGTGTTCGGGACATTTAGTACTGTATTGATTGTTTTATTATTTAATAGTCCTTACTTGATGAACCAAACCCAAACAGTCCTGCAAATAATCTGGCGGCACAGTTATATCAAGAAAATCGTAGGGAATACGAGAAGAAAGTGAAAGCCATAGTTGAGGAGAGCTGGATATATCATGGGGAAGTGGCCAGTTGAAAATGTACATAAATTATGGTGGATTTGGGTGAAACACTGCTAAAAGTGGTGATCCATGATAACAACAAGCTGTAAAAATTACTAATGCTCACTTTTGAATGCAAAATGTATTGCCTTAAATGTGAAATGTAAGTTTTTGTGAGATCAGGTTAAATATTTAGAGATTGGACTGAACAAATATTTTTGGGATACACTTGAGCATGTGTATTGTGTTTTCATGAATGATCTTTTGTTTTGTTTAAGTAAACCTTTAAGAAACACTAAGTTTGTTGTTTACATGAAAAGTTTTGTCAGTTTATTAATTAAAATGGAATAATGCAGTTGCTTTAAACATGTATACAATCAATGTGTAAACTTGTATATTCCATGTGGACAATTTGTATGAACCCTTTTTTTCTGGCTGAAAATTTGTATGTACTTAATTGTTAATATCTGTGGCTGAAAGTGGACATTGTATAAGTTTATGATCACAGAGTTTTAAGGCTTAACATGTAGGGATATATTAAATAGAGGTAACTACCTGGCTCAGCAGTAAAACAGCATGTTGCCCTTAAAGATGATTTTAGTATATTCTGTTAAAGTCAAACTTATTTTCTTTTTGTTAATAATTACAATAGTTGTTATGATTTTATTGTTTGTAATTTGATAAAAAAAAGTATTTTAAGTTATTTGTTTTTTAAGAGGCAGTGTTCCTTGAATGAGGAAGGTTTTTGTTTAGTTTGGTTGGGGATTTTGGAAGAGGGGACTGATTTGAGTAAGGGGCAGTTAAGTGGTGTGGATAAAGTCGGGTGTCTGTAGTAAATATTACCATGGACTCTTTATGAGAAAAAATTATATTTTTTTAATGATAATAAGAAAAAATACAGTTTCTGCATTGGTTTTATTTTAAATTCTGGTCATTCTTTGTTTTTAATATTGATTTTTTTTGTATTTTGAAGACTAGGCCTTAATTTATAGTAAATTGAGATCCGATTTAAAGTTTTTTTTCCCCTAAAGATTACTTTAAAAAAACACACCAAAAAGATGGCAGAAATAAGTCATTCAAAAATAATATTTTAAGTCATATTCAACTTTTATATTAAGGTGTTAGATGAAGTGAGCATAATGCATAAAAAGTAACTCTGTAAAGGGGTGTGTGTAATTTTACCAAATTAATTATATTTCTATCTTATCAATTTCAAAACCTGAACATGTCTTTTGTTTTATAAATAAGCTGGCCATTCGTATTTCGTGTAGTACTAGTACATGTAAATTATTAAATGTATTTGGATTACCTCCCTTTAAGTAATAGCATAGCAAATTATTACAAAATTACAACTGTGACAGTAACTTGTGATGGACAAATTCCTTGATTTTATCAGAATCAGGATTGGATCTCTGCATAATTTAGAATAGGAATGCCCAGCCTATTTAGTTGAATATAGGTGTGAAAGATTTGTATTTGTGTATAGCTACATGGTTTTCCTAAATGTTTCATTGTGATATAGGAAACTCATCTTGTTGTTTTGTAATGTTTTATTTTATCTGGTATGCAAATTGGGTGTACCAGTACCATTTTTGAATAAACATCTTTATTGTAAAAATAAGTTTTTTGTTGTTGATTTATTGTTTTAAGAAATTGTTTGGAATGAGCCATTTCGGATATTGAGCAATTTCGGATATCTCCACATTTGCTCTTCATATATTATAATATATTCATACTTCCGTCTTGCTTGCATGGTCCTTCTTAACATTTTTAAGAATATTCAGGTTTACCACTGATACCGACAAGTGTGACGATAGCTAGAATAGAAAAAGGGGTTGCCATGACGTCCCATGCACCTTTGCTGGGTATTCATCAACCATTGTGCTTCTAGCACTTTGATATACAAATTTCAAGGTTATCTCCGTCTTTATCATACAACTCAATGGAGTTTCATCCCATAAACTAAACTAAAACTCTATCTACTAATTCTTATAGCTGTTTAAGTTAAAAAAATCACCATGCATACGACCGATCAAAGACACAAATATGCCGACATTGTATGGGAAAATTTAATTTAATGAGTAATAGAAAGACCATCGAAATACGACCCCTGTCGTCACAATATGAAACCTCAGAAAAAAGTAACCAGTGTACGAGCACAATAAGTAAACCTAGAAAAAAAATAAGCCCTTCAACGAACATGGTCTATTTTTATCCCCCACAGACCGTGCGGGTAACTAATACCAGTTAACGCACGGTGCATGTATGGGTATACGATTCAACTCTGACACATTTTCATTAGAAAGGTCTCCAAACTATGATACAATTTAATGTAACACCAGAGTTCTGAGTAACTTTCACTCTTGACGTCTAGAAATGAAAGATTTTTGTCATCGTTAAAACCATAATGTAAAGTATTATAATTCTTTACAGTACAAGAAACGAAGCAAATGATTCATAAATTTAAATAAACAAAGACTTAAAATTTATTCATTTTTAGTGAAAAATATTTCATTTTTTAAATTCTTGCTTCCGTTTTCTCTTCATTTGTTGTTGTTCTAGGATGTATATTTTCTCATACATCACCGCAGGCGGGTCTTCATTCAACAAGTCTTCCAGTATCATGTACTCCAAATCGTCCAAATCCTCCTCGTGCCGTGTGAATCTTCGCTCTTCGTCATCTTCGGGCAAGCCATTGTGACGTAAACATTTCCGCTTACACCAGTTGTACGACAACAACATCAATGTATTGAATGGCACTAACTAAAAAAAAGAGACAAATATTAGCTTTTTCTATAAATTTATTTAGGCGAACGAGAAAAAGAAGATAAATTTATTGAACTCCTAAATGAAACAAGCTTCTTGTTTCTTACATCAACCACTTTTGAGTTCGATTCCTGAAACTAACCAGAACTTGGGTTACATGGGGAAATGTTTTAGTGACCGATAAAGGCTCGAGATCCCAGCAGTGTTCCTTTTTTTTTTTGGAGTCAGACATCGTTTTTGCAATGATTCCAAACAGTATTTGGATGACTTCAATCAATAAATTCTTAAAATCTAGAATTGCATATTTGACAGTTATAATGTTTGTGAATACGGTACATCAAAACTTCACTAAAGTAGTTAAAGTAATTTTACCCTTAGCGCAGCAGGTGCAAGCCCTGCGTACAGTCCGAAGAACCATTGGTTACGCCAAATATGCCGAAAACATTGTCTCAAACTTTTAACCTCAAAGTCCACTCCGCCATGGTTCTCCAGGTGTGTTGAGAAGGCCTGCAGTGAAAGGACAATGTTAACGGACCACATTGAATACTGCTAGCGTGAGATCAAGGGTTCACTGTAAAAGCTTGGTATTTATTCAGTTAAAACGATGAACTTTAAAATAAATAATTGATACAGGTCATTTCTTTTTTGAAAAAGATACTTGGCCGAAGTAAAACTGGTTAACTTGCATAAGTTATTTCTAAATTTTACCATGTAAGCAATTACTAAGGATAATGAATTTTTTTACAAAATTAAATTAAAAATCAATTCTTTGCGCGATTTTTGCCCGATTTGAGATTAACACTTCATTTTTTGGCTATTGACAAAGTCATCTAATTAGGTTGCGAATGCAAAATTGTTTCAATGTTATTCCCAAGTTGATAAAATATCACTACAAAGAAATGTGAAAATACCACGTCCTCGTACCTGCATTTTCTTGCGACAAGTATCAAACGGGTGTGTAACAAGAAGGGAGATAAATGCTGCAGTCATGCCATGTGTAACTCTCTTCCCATCTATTATACAGTCGTTGGCAATCTTGGGAAAGTCGGATCTTATGAAGTGTATGTTCAGCAGTTCGTACGTCATAAAAAGCGACATCGTTGAAGGCACAGTAGCTAAAATTGACATATGAGCCGCGTCACGACAAAACCATCGTAATGCGTTGCGACCAGCATGGATCCAGACCAGCCTGCGCATTCGCGCAGTCTGATCAGGATCCATGCTGCTCGCTATCAGTTTCTCTACTTGTTATAGGGTTGGTAAGCGAACAGCATGGATACTGATCGGATGCAAACGCATTATGTTGGTTTTGTCATGACGCGGCTCATATATATTATTCATTGCTACTTAATCCGTAATGTTGTATAATACTGTAATTCTCTATGACAACATAATTATATACCTTTGAAAAAAATATGTCTCGTATATAAAGATTCATTAACCTCACATACTTTTATAGACTTTTCATATAAAGTTTAAAGGTACATCATTGTACATTATCTAAGGTTATTATACAAATTAATCAACTTGTTAGAAGAAATAATTATTTTATGTACACAATTGAAAAACAATAGATAAAAGTCGGATTTTAGAAAACTTCACTTTTTACACTAGTCACAATTATCGTAATATCATAGGACAATACGAATTATATGTATCATTGTCGTATTTTGTCATGACATTGCAAATAATCAATATCGAATTATCACTAGACATTTCCAGTTATCATAATTGTGTAATTTCCGATCATTGCAAATTATCATTTTATTGTCGTGTTATCAAAGGCACTTTATCAATTATAATTATTGTGCAAAATAAGTGCATTACCAATTATCATCTTCAGATTATCACATTATTTTATCAGTTATCACATGGCATTTCCAATTATCATCATCGTTTTATCATAGGACAATACAATTAACATATCTTATTATAGTTTATAAATACACTTCATAAAGCAACAAGTAGTAGGCTATCTAAGTACTTCCTTATTTCAATTGTAAGGATACAAATTTATATGTATTAAGACTTTCAATATTTCAATAGATCCGGAACAAAATTTAATGTACTTATGTTTTATACTTTTATTCTCAATAGTTATTAGATCTACCTAATAACGCCGCCGATAGACCTTTCCATAACGACTTAACTCCTTCTGTATACATCATCATTCTCCAGCAGTCAAAAACACCTTTGTAGAACGACCGGTCGTTAATAACAGGTTGAACAATAAGCCGTGTCTTGACCGTATCTATCGGGTAAGTCAGAATAGTCGATGTATAGCCGGCCGCAGCGCTTGCAAATGCCGTCTGAGCTAAAGTCATTTCGCCAGTTTCTCCAGCAAAGAATATTTTCAACCCATAGTAGGTTGAAAACTGAATGATTGATGCGGGAAACATCTTGAAGCAGCTTGTGAAATTCCCTTTGAAGAGTGATCGGATACCTTCAGTCTGTTTCATATACTTCGCCAGATTGTACAGACCGCCGCCTAAATACGCTCTCTGGTTTGCGTGCGGCACTCCAACCTGGTAAAGAACTTTGGTGACGTCTAGCGGCGCCGTCAATGTCCGTGATATTATTCCGCTAACCGAGCCGCAGACTGAATCTTGCATTACAGTCAGTCTTGAGTCTCTACTAAACATAATTTGTATATTTTCAGACGTAGACGAGCTAGCTTATAATTACATCGAATTTTACAAACAATTGACCCAAGAATGACGCCGTTGCTGTGTGGCGACGCCAGCCTCGAATTGAATACGAGGTTAAGCTATTTATAGAAACTATAGAAGAATCATGTAGTAAAGTGATAAATCATATTTTCAGAAGTTCAAACATTGCTATGTTTGCCTCGGTACCAATGTTATCCAAATAGAAAATAAAATATCTTGAAATAAAGTTTACCTATAGAAGATAGAGGTGGTGATATTTAAGAAAGAGGCGACGAGACCGACTACATCTACTGCAAAATTGTCACGATTGAATATATAATGTGGTCAAAAATTCTCAAATGTGTTTTGTTTGGGGGGGTGTATATCTTTATTTGTCAGGCAATATATGCATATTTCCATTGCGGAAAGGCACTGATGACAATTGTCAAGCTATTTTTGTTTTGTTTTGATTAACCTTAATTTGACAAGTTATATAATTTATTTTAATTCAATTCATAGATCATAGACTGAAAGTGGAGTGTCCTTCAGGCGGAGTTTCATTGTACGCATTATTCGATTATTGATGAGGGGAACTGTATTGTTAATGGCACTGATGCTTGACAAACAATAGGTTTTTTGTGAATTTTATTTAATACATATTTTATACATAGAATAATAGACATGTATTATACATGTTTCACAGACTATCCGATAATTGGGTCACCTCCTTCACTGAAATGGAAACAAAATGTTTTCAAAGTTTATTATTTAATTTATCAAAATTCATTTGAAAAAAAAGCCTTTTGGAAATATTTTCATTCAATGAAGACATTTAAAAAAGAGAATCTTTAACTAAGACAAACAGTGGGTATCAAGTATTGCAAGATAAATCATAATGCTATATAACTAATTGTATTGTAAAACTGACACATATTCGTAATGTTAACGTTGGTGTGAATTATTACCCTTGTTTGTATCCAGTACACATTTAAATGTATTTATTTATATTTAGGCTAAAATATCATTACAAGCATTACAAAACTTGGTTTTACCTACCTTTGGTCACAGAAATTCTTGATACGAAATCCTAATTACCTAACTTTTTTCAAAGACAAAGCAGAGTTACGTACCTTTGCTCACAGAAATTATTTATACTATCTTAGTTACCTGCATTTTCTCAAAGATAAAACAAGTTAGCCTACCTTTGCTCACATGTTTACTGGAGTATTAATATAACTAACAAAATGTAATATACAACTCTTTGACCACAGAAAGTCTAATGAAACACCCATCTACAAAAAAGAGTTTCCTTTTCTCACAGACGGACATATTGAAAGGGGAGCGCACTACCGTTCCAAAATTGCACACAGTTACCTACCTTTGCTCACATACATATTGAAGAACATCCCATTCACAAAACTCGTCACTCCACCTATAATCAAACAGTTTTATAGACGCCATACATAGTTCACTGTTATCTCTATTATTTGGTTGGCTGGCATCCCAGTTAGTATAAGTTATCGGTTTATGAACTATTTCCCATATCCAATTTGCATCATTGTTCCAGTTGGTTCCGCCAAGCCAGAAACCATTATCTCCATCAGTATCTTAAATATTAAAACAAAACTGTTATCATTATTATTTCTTCAAACATTTTTTTAAAAGTGTAAGCGATTGTTAAATTTATATACCACATATAGAAACAACTGATTGAGTTATTATGCCATTGCAATTGTTTGCGGCGCATTGTCCCTATCTATGTTTGACCCTTCAATCTTAGTCGATGTAAGGTACTCCTGTCTGTGTACTGAAGCTTTGCACAGATAAAAGTCGCTCTAAAAGCGATATGCAAATCTTTAAAAAAATATGTTGTTTTTAAAGGAACCGGACACTTCCGTCAATTTATGCCCTGTCAAACATAACAAAGGGAGATAATACTTATTTCAAATTTGTACTTACGATTGAAAGTCAACGCTTGGTCATGAAACCATTTTTGCTCTGCAGCGTCATCTATGTTAATTAGGTGACTTTTATGCCATAGACACATTTGCTGCAACGACATGTTCAGTGTTATTAAGCATTTAGTAGAGTTAAAATGATTAAGTACTTTGTATAGAAGCCAAAAGTACCATTTTGTTTGCGTTTTGCTACCTTTACAGCACATTGTAAATATCTTATATACATTAAAAGCATAAATTTAAACATATTTAAGAACATATTTGCATCTTAAAAAACAACAACAACAACAACAAAAAAACAATAAACAAAAAAAACAGCAATCATTTCTGAAGCATAATGTGTCCAGTCGGGAGATTTTTGTACAAATCTTAATTATGATATCCCTGTAATACACCGACATAACCATTTTTTTAGTAAAGCACGCTTGTATTCAGATACAACGTTATACATGTATATATTGATCTGGTGAACTTTCCTGCCAACAAGTAGACATAAGCTATAAAAACGGCAAAGGTTACTTTTTTATTCTTGTTATATTTCTTTTTTTTTGTCATAATAGAAAGAGAAATGTGTTACCCGTGCATTTGTCCAACTTTCTTTGTCAGTCTGAAACCTATAACAATGGCCGTTATACGGTCGCCATCCGGATTGGCAGGCACTGTACACTGTGATATAAAACATATTGAAGTCAAAACTGCCTTTTCTTTTTGCAATTAAATGGTTGGGCCCTCATTTGTGTAAAAATTATACGAGGATGCTGCGTTCTAACGGAAAATCTGCTCGCCTGTTTCGTGCATGAAGAGTCAGTCGGAGGGACGCTCGAATTTTTCATGAAGTATAACATATAGATCAATTAGTCTAATTTCCCATTGCTTAGTAAGGAAGGAAATCAAATGACTTATGAATTCTGAGGCAGTTATACAAAAATAGATAGATTAAAGTAATTTGTATTGTAAATCAGTGTATCAGTAACCATAGAGTTTGACTACACTATGACTTTCATTAATCGCGATTGTCTACTTTCACTTTACTTATGTTTAAATATATAGATACAATATAATATCAATTTAAATAACTATACCACAATCATAGGAAAACATGCTTAATCGTTCAATGAAAAAGAAAGTTGAAGTAACTTACCAGTTGCAAGAAGTGCTGGAGCTAAAAGTAACAGATAATTTGCCATCTTCAGATATTAATGATTTCTTGAAGTTAAATTTTCGCGCTTATATATAGTTTAGATGTTCTAAGACAGGTCCTTAATTTTAAACTTGACATACACGTATAAGATAAGGAATAATGGAAACGTTTAGAGAGAGCCATGGTTTCTCTATTTGTAACTAAGTTGTATAAAAAATCATTGCCAGTTAAAAACAGTGCCACTATTTATGTCACGTTAAAAGTAAAAAAAAAATGGAAAAGCTTGTAACACCCCACTTTGGTGCGTCACGTACTTTGGTGTCCAACCCAAAAGTGCGTTTCACGTACAGCTATATATGCATTTTTTGACATCTGACAAACTACCGCATTTGAGGTCATATAATATAAAATCAATAAAAATGAATTGTAGTGATATCTTTTTTGTAGTAATGTCTTTAATTTGTTACATCTAAGGGTTGCAATTTGCAATAAATCATATATTTTTATATTCAGTTATTGGTCTCTTAAATGACATATATGCATGTGTTTGTATTGAAATAGTGAGTGTTATAATACATAAGATAACATAATTCAATCTGATTAAAAGTCAGATCCTTACACCAAATGATCTAGTGACTACTCATTAAAATCTGTTGTTATTTTTTTGTATTTCTAATTATTTTAAACGGACCTAACATTTCTTCATTAATTAATTAAAGTTCTTTCTATGTTGAATGTTGTAGAAAAAAAACATCCATTTAAAGGAACTCGAGGAGTGTTATCTTGCCACCACTGGGAAAATGAAATATTTAAGATGCAAAATAAACTGATAAAAAATTTAAGTGCATATATTAAGATAAAATTCACGTCCATATATGGCAGGAATTATTTTGAAACACGTTCGGGAAATACGAAATTCATCTCTTTTCTGATGTGGCGGTCATTTCAAAATAGCAGCGGTTTTGGTGGCACATGAAACAGATACATTTTGTAAAACCATACAACAATTCCTAAATAATCTGATATATTCCATTGATTCAGAATATAAATTGCAACGTTCACGTTCACAGTTCACTCGTATTAGTTCATTTTAGTCTCAAGATGGCCTTCAAAATGACCACAAATTGAAAATAAGTCATTTCAGACATACATGTATTTAAATATATCTAAGAAAAAAATTAAAGAAAAAATTTAATTTACTTACAGCAGCAGTTATTTTCATGAGATTACATAATTGGTACCAGTTCATTACGATTTCAAAACGGCAGCTTTTTTTTTACAAAAATGGCAACCAAAAATGCATTTACTTAACTGATAAAGTGATCTTGATTATAAAGTAAATATAAATTGTTTTTAAAAAGGTTTTTTATTTTTCTAAAATGTTAATCATTTATGTCAGTGTATACGTTCTCAATAGCGTTGTCATATGGTCCAAATGTTTAGGAATATCTAAAATTGTGAAATAGGCTTGAAATGAAATGAAGTTACAGCTGTAGCCCTCAAGCAACTTGACTGCAATAGAATTTACTTCTAACTTACTAGTTAGGTCATTTAAATGTTTGAAAATAAGAAGCAGTGAGACGATGTTAACTGTATTTTATCACATTCCCATTACTGTGTGTTCAGTATGGCACCGAAACTTATGAAGTAAATGGCTGACAGAACAGAATAGTGTTCGTGACATCTGTTCTTTTTTGTTTTGTTTTTTAAATGTATTCGCAATTTAAGTACTACATGTACTTGTTTGTTAAACAGTCACAAGTTTTAGATTTTTAAAATGGTAACATTCACAAAACATTTAAACCACTTAAGCAACATTTATATATTTTATTACTGCTACATCGGAATTTCAATAGCACTTAGTAAGATTGCCCAGTAATGTATCCAAATATCGACCGTTATCTTGAACTCCAATTTGAATATTTCTAGGTTACAGATCGAAAATAAGTCAATACTCAGTATTTAAGCAGAATTCAGTTGACAACTTCAGAATTCTGGAACCCAGAGTGCGTTAATATGTAGCATACGAACGCACTTTGCGGTCATTTTCTCGATTTTGACCCCAGTGAGTTTTACCCCAAAGTGTGTTGAGAAGTTAAACGCACTTTTGTGTACAACCCCAAAAAAACGTTTAACTCCGAAGTGCGACGGTACAAAGCAATAAAGCATGATGATAAACAAGCTATATATTATGCCAATTGACTTAGAAAATATTTGAGGTGGTACGCAAACTTTAACTTTTAAGTCGAAAAGGGAGCATAATTATGTCAAAATGCTTGGTAGAGTTACGTCCTCCAGTCCACAGGCCGGTGTCATGATAGTGAACAAGTGTGCAAAGTTTCCAAGCCATATGTCGATGGGCTTTGAAAATATTTGAGGTGCTATAAAAACTTTAACATAAGTGGTTACGCCGACGCCGACGTTGTCGCTCGGTTGACTAGGATAACATATCTTATTCTTATTGAACAGTCGAGCTGAAACATTAAATAAACTATTCAAGACTGACCGGACAATCTTATCTCGGCGGATCGGATAACGTTGTCATGACTTACTGGATAGACTTGCCATGAATTACTGGATAGACTTGCTACGACTGACCGGATGGACTTGCCTAGACTTGTCATGACGTCTGGATAGACTTGCCATGAATTACTAGATATACTTGCTACGACTGACCGGATGGACTTGCCTAGACTTGTCATGACGTCTGGATAGACTTGCCTCGATTTACTAGATATACTTGCTACAACTGACCGGATTTAAATATTTATTTTACATGGATGAACAGTTAAACGCTGATAAGATATACTATGCGTTATTTGGTAGTAAGTCAGGCCTTGCTTGAGGTTTATGAAAAGAGAAAATATGTAGTTTGTATAAACCCTAATTAGGAGTATCAAAGTTCTATTTAAGTTTTTTTTACCAACTCCTAATTTTTAGGAAATACAAAGTCCTAATTATAATTTCATTTCTGCTAATAAGGTTTTCAAAACTTCTTACTTAGAGTAACAAAGTTAGGCTTATTTCACACTAATTAGGAGTTAAAATTCCTAATAAGTTGTAAATTGGTGTAACAAATTCGAATTAGGTTTTTTATTTCTCTTATTTAGGAAAAAAAAGTCGTGATTAGGTTTTTATAAAAAAGAACAAAGTCCTTATTCAGTTTTAAACTCTTTACGAGTTAATGAAATATTAAGATTTAATAGTGCCTAAACATTTCTAAAACAGTTACTAGTTTATTATAAATTTTCGACCGTGCGACCACATACACGCATCGAGGACATGTTGGTAGGAAATTGACCGTGCGACCACATACACGCATCACAGGTTTCCCTTATTCAAATGAAAAAGGGGCAAAAAGCTGTCCGCCCTTTATCAAGGGACAGACTTTAAAAATGCCATTTCCTTATTGTTATTAATAAGGAGGCTATTTTCCCCAGATATGTTTTGAATTAGTATATGTAACACTATAATAATGCAAACCATGCGGGTTTCAGTATTCTTCCTTTTTAGTTCACTTTGAACTATTAAAAAGATAATATATAATTTATAGGAAAAAACTTCATTTATTTTTGTTTTCTACTTTTCGTTTTATAAATATAATAGAATTATTTTATTTTTGCAAAACATAAACGTTTCAAAAACGTTTGAAATGCATATTTCACACTTGGTTTGCAAATGTTAACCTGGGGGCATTTTGGCCAAATTATGCTTTCAATTAAGTTATTAACTGACTTTGTACGAGACATTCGACTTATCCTACATGAGAAAGATAAAACTTGAGCAGCCGATGCAAGTCATTTGATCGGTTGTGTCACTCACTGTTCAGTTCATAGACTTATGATATTTTCATATAATGTAATTACTGAATAGATGAACTTCATTTTATTTTAAAATACGTTGTTTATGTGTCAATATTTTTTTTCGATGCACACATCGCATTGAATACCCTTCCATATTGAGAAAAAGTTGAAAGGCGTATGCTACATGAAAACATTACATAAAAATATGAAGCATAAACCAATGTTTTCAGGTTAATTTCTCTTTTTATATATTATGTCTTGTGGTCGATATTTGTTTTATTACGAATATTGTTTATGTACCATTTTGTGCTGGTATTTGTACATGTAAAATTAATATATCTTGTGTAATTGTTTGTTATTTATATTTCTTTTCAGCCCTGTATACAAACCACCATGCATCTTATATCATTCCTATTTCACCTCTTATTTGTCCTTACAACTCATTACTTATATTTCATTTAGACATAACTTGCATGCTAGGCACTTCCCGACAAACCATCTCACGCATGCGCAATTTGATAAATATATTTCGTTGGTTTAAGCCAGAAATTGTTACTCTTTGTTTATGGCGCTTGTTACTGCAAAAATGAAGAAAGAGTATGTCTAAAACAATGGCAACAATAGGGATCGAACGACTGACCTTCCACATATCAGGCAATCACTGAACCAACTGTGCTATTGCGATATAACGGCGACTTTATTTTAAGCGGGTGTGACTTTCTTAACATTAGTTATATATTCCATATTAATTCTCGAAAATTACACAGCTGGAACCGAAGTGGGATAGAATATTTAAATGAGTGCTATAGTGTATTCATAAATATATTTATCCTAGGTTAAGGTAATCGTAGTTTTACTGTATTGAAAATCATTGAATATGATACGCACGATTTTCTCGTGCGTCAGTAATGTATAATAAAGTCGGATAGATGTGTACATCATTCGAGGTTTTCTGCATTGCTACACACGTTTATTTAACTCTATCGTATCCCTCCCACCCTCCCGAAAAGTTCACGCAGTTGGCACGTATAAAGTATAGTTATTCTGTACAGTAACAATGATTTTTCTTTGTCCATTTTTATTCTTGATAAATCTTTTTAATCGTTTAATTCGACAAGCATATTCTTACAACAGCAGAATAATTTTGCAAGGTTTATAATTGATTTATAAATACAAAAATGTATTAATGGTAAATGAAATATGGTATTATAAAGGTGCATTTTTAGATTAAATCAGTCAAGTTTTTTACGTTTTGGTTACGATTTGAATTTAACTAAAATATTGTTAATTAATTTAGTTTATATTTTTCAGATTTTGTTCCAAGAACAAGATGCACTACTTTTCCGGGATGTTCGTTATTTTGGAGAACGATTCTTTAGTTAGTGAAATACGATACCTTGAACTTTTTATATTCTGTATATAAGAAAAGATTCCATATTTTATACGTTTTTGTAAAATGTTCTGAACTTATAGGTGGAAGGCGTGCAGTTATTGAGCGTACATATTCGGCTTTTAATTACATTTTACATAGTAAGTGGATTATTTTTATGGGTTTTCTCATTAAATTATGTCAGAACACTTACGGAAGGTGGCTGGTCTTGAGTTTTGGTTTCCTACTACGTCCCCCTCCCACGATGGAGTAGGGTTGCGCAGCCGACTCGCAGCATACTGACAGGGAAAGTACGTTCATAACTGTGTGTTTTCCATGTTGATGTACATAATAAAGATATGAGATTATTGTCAAGAAAGTCATTTCAGATTACACCGATTTATGAAACGTTGAGATGTTAATGTCGTGATTGTTGTTTCTAAGAGCATGTATTAGTAATGTAGATATATACGCAATGCAGATAACAAATCCTAAATGTGAATTTATGTATTTGTTGTTCTTTCTTCCTTCGATTGCCTTCATTATGGGATAAATAATAAATTTACGTTTGAGCGTAGCGAATTAGGAAATAATTGACATTTATTTTATTCTTTATTATAGTCTCATCTGTACACATATATACATATAAAACATTTAAAACATTGAAATAGTATATAGCCATTCCCAAGAGACTTGTTATAGCTAATACTAAGAGGGATAACTCCACAGTCCATATTATAGAAATGTATAATATGTATTGTAGATTTACCTCCCTTATTAACGTATATTCACATTTTCTCAACATTTACATCATATAAATCAATTGCAATAGGATGACATAATTGCACATTGTCATTATTTAAAAAAGTTATTTGAAACTTAAAAATACAAAATTATAATAAACTTTTTACATTCTATAAGTTTGATAACCTCTACTGACCTGGACTTAAAAACTGCCATAAGAAATTATACTGTAAAATAAAAAAAATTGTAATAACAACACTATCACGCAATATAAAAAAAAGGTTTTACAAATTCATTTATCACTCATGGTTAGATCATGGATGAACTGGTCAGTAGTGATTATCAAAACATAGGAATAAAACAACTTATTTATCTAATTTAAAATATAGCATATTTCTACATAAAATTTTTTATGTATTTTATTCCAAGCAGGAGGTGAGATACAGACATTACAGACTCTCTTGTTTATGAATTAAGAAATGTTTTAAAGACTAACACTTATTTTAATACAATATAAATTGAATTGTCAGTGAAACAAACATACTTTAAACTATCAGTATATGTATACACCATCTCCCACATGAAATAATATAACTTTGCTTTGCACTATTTACGCTAATATAATACTTATAATAAAAAGGACATATGACTTATCCTGAAATGTAGTCTGTTAACCTATTTATATAAATGGTCGTTTCTGGCTTTTATAATCAAAAAACACATTTTAGAACTTACTTTTAACATATGTTCATTTAAGAGTACAAAGTTTAATTTATCCTGATTACTTAAATTGTTAAATGAGGCATCAATCTTAATAGCTTTTTAACAATATCATTTCTGAGACAATGGGCAATGAAATAAAACATGAACTTCATTTTCCACTGCAAGTTCACAAATCGGAAATAGACGCTGTTCCTGTGGAATATTTTCGTATCTCCCGGTTTCTAAACGGAGGGGGGCAACCCCACCTCTAAACTTAGCTAACGCAGACTTGTATTCATTAGGCAAAGTTGAACATTGAACATATTTTTCAGTGACATAAACACATTTAAACTGCGTATAAGTCTTAAGTTTATTTCTACCTCTTCCAGAGGGACCATACTGGTTCTCCAATCATGAATGAAAGTATCCATGGCGCACTTACTTATCTTATCACAAAAATGTTTGGAAGACATGTTAATACAATCGTTTGACATATTCAATAAATTGTTTGACAATAGATGTTTCTTATACAGAAATTGCCATTTTTTGCAACTATTATTACTCTTACTGTCACAAAATCTAAAAATTTCGAAATTAATTCTCTCACTATCCATTATCTTCACTCTATGCCAATGTTGTTGACAGGTCAATAAAATCAGAGTATATGTAATAAGTCATCAATTTCTTTCGCGTCCGCTTTGAGCCCTAAACAATGATAATAACACATGATAAAACATGGTTGTTGATCAGGTAGCAGTCGAGGCCATGACCCCTGGTTTGAGAGAGACACTCATGAGACATTAGACCACAGAACTACTGAAACGCTCTTGAAGTACACTATTTTTAAATATTAAAAAAAAAAGTGTTTAAAATGTCAATAAATCTATCAAAATTAAATTGTCAAAATGTATCATGATAACATGAAACCATGATATTTTAAGAGATAACTTCAATTAAAAAAGAGTAATTGTATTATAGTTGTATCTTATAATTTTTGTCATTTATCGGAATGTATTTGAAACCAACGTAATGCGTTTGCGACCAGCAATGGATCCAGACCAGCCTGCGCATCCGCGCAGGCTGATCAGGATCCATGCTGTTCGCTATTGGTTTATCTACTTGTTATAGAGTTTGTAAGCGAACAGCATGGATCCTGATCAGACTGCACGGATGCGCAGGCTGGTCTGGATCCATGCTGGTCGCAAACCCATTATGTTGGTTTTGCCGTGACGCGGCTCATTTAATGTCTTGGTTTGTTATAACTGAACTTTTATCTTGTTATTTTTAAAATACTTTATGAATGTTAGGGGCCATTTTTGTACATATATATTTACAGTACTGCTTTGTTTTATGTCAAAGTAACTATCAACACTTTCCATTTATATTTCAAGATTTGCGTATACGTGAAATTGTCATTTTCCTCATCATGAACAGCAACATAATAATTATCGATATCATCATCATAATTATCATTATAAATATCACTTAATATGGAGTCGTTGTTTTCATCATCATCATCATCATCATCATCATCATCATCACCATCACCATCACCATCATTATCATCAGCAACTCATCATCATCATCATCATCATCGTCGTCATCATCGTCATCATCATCATCATCATCATCATATCATCATCATCATCATCATCATCATCATCATCATCAACAACAACAACAACAACAACAACAACAACAACAACAACAACAACAACAACAACAACAACAACAACAACAACAACAATATCATTGACCTTATCATCATAATAATAATCATTATTATCACCAAAACGGAGTCTTTATATCTGCCATTATCGTCATCACCATTATCATCATCATAATCAGCATCATTATCATGAAGAATGAAGTTATCTTTTCCACCAACATCATCATTATCATAGTTTTTGTCGTCATCATTGTCATTTTTTCCCAAAATCATCAAAACACAAAAATACATCATTTTGTAACATTTATTTATTCAAAAATATTTTGAACAACATGCTATTTACAATATTTAAACCGAAATTTTTTAAATGTTTGTCAACACAAATGTATGACCACGTATTTGTAACAGTCACATCTATATGATTTTATAAAATTGACTAGTAATCATGTTTACGTATAACTTATTGGTTAGCGGGAACACAAACAATAAACATAGGTTAATAAAAATCAACAACATACTGCCGGAAAGTGAAACACATAACATACAAAAATGCCTTTTAATATTTACATAGAATATGTCTTTTAATACAATCTTTATATTAAAGTTTTTTAACGCCAAGACAGTATTTTAATAATCAAGTGTTGAACAGAAATCTATAAAAAAAAATTCAATTAGTTATTTTTCAAGAAAAAAAAAAAGAAACTCTAGTCCGACCTCGTTTCGGTCTAACTTCCCGGTTGCGCACGCACCTTGCTTCTCTCACAAGAACAAATACATGTACTTGTAAAAAAAACTGATAAACTAAGGAAAATATTCACAGAAGCTTTGCAGTGTATAAAACGTACGAAATCTTGGAAAAAAATAAAGTTATAAGAAATGAAAAGTAGATTTCAGAAAAGAAGGACAATTAAAGCTGGCCAGAAAAAAACTAATCTAGACATATATGTACATGTATATATATTTAAACTATCTGTTATTGTGATCTTATGCTATAACTGGTAGCCCAACTTCATTTATATATTTGATTCTAGATATGCATGGGCACATGCAATAAATTATTAATAAACTGAACATATTAATGGATAAACGTGATGAATACTGCAGATAATATTTATACATGTATCAATATTTCTTTTGTTACAATCTCGTGTTTGAGAGATATCAAGTTCTTATTTTGACTATGTATTAAGTTCTTGTTTTGACTATGTATTCAGAAGAGAAAATTAATTTTATTTACAGAATACTTCACAAATTAAAAAAAATAAGTTTGATATTTCCATAAACAACTGTTGACTATTTACACTCTCTGAGTAAGAGCAGACATCGCGAGATAACAACCACAGTGTATCTTTTTTAACCTCAATTGCACCAGCAACTTTTTCTTTTAACAAAGCCTAGCAACTGTAATTTATTTATGCATTTCTCAATTCACAAGTTTACTTGTCTTTACAATACTCGTTTGATATGCTACTTTTTTGTTTTGCTAGAATCGATGATTTTTTATTAAAAAACAATTAACGTGTATTCAATTCAATACCAATAATGATAAATTATTAGAACCATATTAAGTCTTTAAAAAGTACCCTGTTTTTCTATAATTACCCTAAATTTTCTACGCTTGTCATGTATAGTTATAACTTCAATTTAAAATACTATTATTGAATAATACTTATTAATATTGTCCGCATACATGCCATTTATATACAGTCAGTTTTTCTTTCTTTATCAGACAAACAATTTCATCAACATTTATCAGACTGGCTTTTTATAATGACACACAACGAAAACGAAACCCATACAGAAAAAGAACTGAAACTGATTTCTATAAATGTAAAAAGCAAACGGTTAAAATTGTTTACAGTCCTATGATGAGGACACACATATTTATCTTATATAAAACCCAACCAGGGTTAAAACTAACTTGATTAAAGTACCATGTCTGTCCCTGACACATTCACTGGTTGATTGTTCATTTATGGCACCGTTCAATGCAATATACGTTTGTCAGATATTATCACAGTAGTTCTTTCACAAAACAATGCTAAAGTATAAAGTAATTTATCACAAATTCAACGAATTCTTCACACAAGTATTTACACAATCGTCCAATGTTTTGAAACTATTCGCGTTCCCTTCACAGCCGCCATATACAAATACATCACACTCTCGAGTATTGGAGTTATAAAAGAACCTCTTATGGTATGCGCGGCAAGGCCCAGTTTCCGCCGGAAGTGAACAATCATTCTCGTTTGTTTGTATCTGCTCTTTAGATGCTGTAAAATAAATTTATCAACAGTAAAATTATATTGGTTCCATTATTATATGGCTGATTCCGATGGATTTGTAACATAGAATGTCTCTGATATATAATACACATGAAAAATGTACGTAAACAGAATAAAATGTTCAGGAACAAAATATCATTTTGCTATTTTAAGTAGGATTTTATCTGTTTAGCAATGACTGTGTGCATGCGCAACTCGCTGTGCATGCGCCACTCGCTTTAAGCCAATTCATTACCATTTTCATTTCATACAAACATTTTGGAAGAATTTTTTTTTTAATCCAAACAAAATATATAGCTTTATACACTTTAATCAACCTTTTAATGCTCCATATTGTGTCCTATGTACTGTAATTTAGTAATAATATAACTACATCAATGTTTTCATGCAAGCCCTAATATCGTATATTTGAATTATATTGAAATCTGAATTTAAAGAACTCTTCTAAATTTGAAAACATTTTCTTATTTGTAATATAATATGGTATTTCTTTCTCTGCCGCCGATGTTTCTGCAAAAACAGTCTTGGAATTTGACTTTACTTATAACCTTTTGTCAACAGTTAATTATTGAACCATTGTAGGTGGCATTAAATTAGCCCATAATATTTTACCTTGAAAGGGAAACATCTGAACATCGTCAAGAGATCCTGGCGGCTCTACTTCCCCGTACACAAGATTCCCGTCATTGACATCATTTTCTTCTTCTTCTTCATTATCTTCTTCTTCCTCTTTGTCAAACATGGACGATTCTATAAAATGGTAGAACATAAAGTAGATGTGTCATTAATGTCATTCACAAGTCACATACCTAAATCATAAACCATTGTAACAGAAGAATTGCACAATTACCAAAACCTAGTTCATTAGCAGTTATAACAAGCTTGTGTTAAGCTGACACATATTTTGCTTGAGTTTTAAATATAGTTTACACGTTCTGACAAAAGGTCTTACTTTACATATAATGACCGTTAAATATTATAATAATCTTTCTCTGAATAAACGTATATGTAAGATATGAGATCGTGTATGCAATATGAAATTAAAAAGGCAGTTATAGAAAGAGAAAGGAAAGTGACAAATTATGAACTAATCAACATATGTCAACATGTAGCAAGCATTACCTTTTAAAGCTGCATAAATAATATTATGCTCTTTGATAGAAGGAGGATTCAATGGATACACGTCACCAACAATATCACGTTCGTCTTCGTTATTCTCTTCTTCGCTTTCATCTTCGATCTCTGATTCTATGTTTTCTACTACATTCGTGTCTTCAGTGTCCGCTTCATATTCTTCATCATTCTCGAGTTCTTCCATATTTTGACCTTCATGTTCCGTTTCATCTTCACCAGGCTCATCTCTTTCAGCCTCTTCTTCAGTTTCATCCTCCATTTCGTCATTGTTTGACTGTACTTCAACATGATCTTCCTCATTATCATTTTCTTCTTCTGAGTTTTCAATGATTTGATTATCATATTCTCTTTGCTGTTCTTCCTCATAATCTTCACTTTTCTCTGTTTCTACTTCAGATTCATCTTCTGTTTCTTCTTCATTTTCTTCCTCTCTTTCCTCCTCCTCCTGCTCTTCCACTGTATCTTCAATGTCTTCATTTTTCATTTCATTATCCTCAGTTTCATTTTCCTCCTCGTCTTCACTAGTTTGTTCAATTTCCTCATTGTTCTCTTCAGATTCTTCTTGTAATCCTTCTTGCACAACTTCATCCGTATTATCTGTCATTTCGTGTAATGGTTCGTCCTCATGAATTTCAACTTCTAAATCTTTTTCATCAGCATCGTTTTCAACTTCAGGGAAAGCATGCGCGTAATCATTTTCATTGCTTAACGTTTCTGGTTTACTTTTCTGTTCTTCCATTGTCTTTTGTACAATATTTTCATTTTCGAACGATTCACTTGTTTTTTCCGATGACGTTGTATGTTCAGTATCATAGTCAGTTTCACTATTAGAACTTTCTTCCGGAGCTTCAAAGTCATTTTTTTCACTGAAGTCAACTTCATAATCTTTACTTGCAAAATGGTTTACAATGTCATCGTAAATTTCAATATCACTTTTATAGCTTTTATATTCATCAAGTTTATTTGTATTTTCCCCATTTACTTCATTCTGAGATGCATCATTTAGCGCATCATCTTTTTCGGTAATTTCGTCATTGTTTCTGTTTGTGATGATATTGTCGTGATAGGTTCCATCTAAATCTTCCTCTGGTCCATAACTATCGATATCTAAAGTACTCACGTAATTTTTCGTCTCCTCGTTATTCACTTTGGTTCCTTCATCTGTTAAAGAGGAGTTTACTGCAACTGGCTCTGCAAATTAGAGGTTTAAAGATAAATAAATTGAATCTAAACAATGAATAGATATTAAAAAAACTCAATCAAGAACTGCGTCTCGTGTAAATTCAAATTACAGTTTGAATATATCATCTATCGGGCTTTAAGAATAAGTGATATTCGTAAATGTTAACAGATCAAAGTACTGAAACAAATAGTAATAACTGCAATCTTTAAAGTGTTTTCAAAATAGAACAGCTTTGCAAGTTGGTCTACCATCATATTGCGGAAGCCAAATGCATCTATTTGGGAGGACAGGTAATGGTGTGCATGTAAGGTTCCAACTAGATTTCCCATCAGCAAAGACAAGACCTCGATTGCAGGTTAACAGTACAATGCAGCCGTCAGAGTATGGTTTACCACTTAAAATCTTTAATGTTCCTCGAATAGGTGAAGGGTCAGGGCACTGGGGATCATCTACGAGACGTAAGAAATGTAAGGTAAAAGAATCACACATCCAAATATTTTAGTTATCTTTATTATTTTTTAAAAGGAGTGAGATTCTGCCTTTGCAAACTGGCCTTAAATCAACTGGAACCCATACTAACGCCGGAGGCGAAACCGGAACAGCCAGATATGTTAGGTTCAAACTAGATTTACTATTAGGAGACACAAAACCCCGGGTCACAGGTTATAAAAGCATTACATGCAAACGAGAAAGGGTGGCCATGTAACATTTTCAATGTCCCACCAACAGGTTAAGGGTCAGCGCATTGTAAATCTATAATGCACCCAAGTATATATGAAAACCATTAAGTCATTAACTATGAGTTTATCTTTGAACATACATTTTTCGATTGCTAATTAAGAAAGCGAGGTGTGTAATGAATATGAACAAAGGTCTTTATATAACTTCGCTTTTAAAATAAGATAGCAATACATGTGTGTTCTAACTTTAATAAGTTTCAGTCACTGATAGTACGGACCCCAGTGTTAGCTATTTGAAATAGAATGTTACTACCATTGACATCTCGTGCAACTATTGTCTGCTTCTCTACTTTCGTTTCCGTATCGTCAGTGTTATCTACGAGATCTGTCTGCTGTTTCTCAATTTGCTCTGGTTCTGAAGATACAACGTTTTATAATATTGAATACCCAAATCCATAGCTGGTCATATGCTGCACTAATGTGTCAAATGTATGCAGAGATTAAAATGATAGTTACAATGTGTTATTATGATATTTTTTCTACTAGACATAGCTTTGAGCGGCTGAACTTTGCTCCCACATTCTAATCTTTAAATCAATGCTCTGCATATTCAGTTTAATTTGTATGATGGAATTTCTCTAAAATAAAATATGGGTATTTGTAAACTATGAAAAACAAAATTAACAAGGAAGGGCGGTTTTTAATGAACACATACCCTTACACAGAATCATTGGCAAGGAACCAAGAAGGACACCAAACAGGACAGAGCACACCGTCATTTTTGTTCATTAATTTACTTAAACCGCCAAGTGTTTCTAAAATGAATTTTCCTGATTACAAAATGTTTATTACTCAAGAAGATAAAGGGCACATTTCATCAAATCATATCGTTTATAAGAGCACTAGTCTTTAAAGTCATTGAAGAACGTAATTCATTCGAATGACTTTAAGCGTGATTTTGCACACAACATATATTGATTCATTGATTGAATGTACACAAATTCAGTTTAACAGGACAGCACCTTTGCATGTAGGCGTTCCGTTAAATTGTGGTATCCAGATAAGCCCTGGTGGAATATGAGGCACAGGTACACATGTTAAGTTCCAGACTGTCTTTCCATTATCAAACACCAGTCCTGGATCACATGTTAATGAAACCTTACACCCGTCAGTAAATGGTTTACCGGAAGTTACTTTTAAAGTTCCTCGAATAGGAGACGGATCAGTGCATTGCAACTCATCTACAAAGAATGATATGTACTTAGTTACCACTTAATATTTTCGTGACATTTGCAAGTTATACCTTGACAAATTGGTTTCCCTTCATGTACCGGAGCCCAAACACACGTTGGCGGTTGAACAGGAAGTCCTAAACAAGTAAGGTTCCAAACAGACTTGCCATCATTGAAAACAAGTCCAGGATCACAGGTCAAAAGAACATTGCACCCATAGGAAAATGGGTGCCCATGTAAAACTTTTATTGTTCCACGGACTGGAGTTGGGTCCGGACATTGTAGGTCATCTATAAATAGAATATATGTTCTATTTATAGAACAATATGGCTACATTTTGAGTGAGTGCATATTTATACCTTTGCAAGTGGGCTTTCCATCATGCATGGGTACCCAAACACATTTCGGTGGCAATACAGAGAGCCCTAAACATGTTAAATTCCAAACAGACATTCCGTCTTCAAACACAAGCCCTGGGTCACATGTCAAGAGAACATTACATCCGTAAGAAAATGGATGCCCATGTAAGATCTTCATCGTCCCTCTGACCGGTGTCGGGTCAGGACATTGTGGGTCATCTATAATGAACAAGTGACCTTGTTACTTTAAAGGCACATTAGGCCTAAGAAACCAACAAGTCTTTCCTTCTTGAGAAAGGGGGAAACATGAGTTTCGTAACATTTTAATAATAGTTTTAAGCACGTCAGATGAACTGAATGTATTTTTTTAAATAATTTAGCAAAACCTAAAAGAAATAATGTATTGACTTGTATAAAAATACTTAATCACTAATATATATACTTTTATGCATAAAAGCAATGGGAGCAAAAGACAATTCAGGTTATTGGCAAATGAGTAATTATTTTGTAACTATTATTGGACACCAATGAGAAATAAAATGGAAGATTTTTTGGGGAGCACATATGGGCCTTTAACATTATAATCTTTCTTTTCCTTATCATCGTTTTGGTCTCAAGAGTTTAGATCACTTATTATTTACCACTTTATTTTTATAGATAAAGAAGTTCCTTATCAATTAATGACATAGTTCCCATAACCCTATTCTGAAGTAAGTGTCATTAGAGCAATACACTATACAAGTACATGAACAGAAAGTTGTATCATAGTTTGGGGACCTTTTTGTTGAAAATGTGTCAAAGTTAAATCGTATACATATACATGCACAGTATTCAATTTAGGTATTAGTTACCCGCACTCCAAAACTTGCCCATTGATTGGCTCATTTTTGCTGGGGTTTACTTATTGTGACTGCAGCGATAGAAATATCATATTCAGATGCTCGTTCATTGGTTTATTTTTCTGAGGTTTATATTGTGGCAACAGGGAACGTGCTTTTATGTGAGACTATGATACAAAAGAGAAAGAACAGCAAAACACTTGGCAAACTGATTAATACTCAGGGGCTACGCCCCCTCGTACAAATCAGATAGCCTCGTGTTTCGATGCTCTTTCTATTACAAAGCCTACTTTGTATTAAGAATATCAGTATTCCATGAGAAATCTCCTCTTTGACAATTGTTAAACATTCTATTACTTACTGCTGAAAATTTGCCTCTTTGCCAATGGGGTTAAGTCTTAAATATAAATGATGATTTGTTAATCACGTAATGGGACTTATGCTGAATAAATGATTTGAGAATCACATAACGTTTTACATTTTGTTCAACTAGCATTTAACATGTTTTTTAGAAATATTAGTACTGAACCTTTAATGGATACTTATGCACATGCATTTTACGACAACTTTTATTAAATATTTTTAACAATATACTAGTTACTGAACGAAATGCAATCGTTACTAGCTGCTGATATACACTTACCGGTATTCTATATATTATTTCTATGCGTGGGAAAGTTAAAAATTCATAAATTATGCATTTGTGAAAAGAATATACAGTGTAGATGTACTTTAAAGCCCAACCGTTACCAATCGGCCGAGGGTTGGAATCCAACTGAATTTTTCTACCTTAAACAACTAAGAAATAGCAAAAAGAGTTAAAATAACTAGGGAAACGTCAAACTGAACATGGATTCTTACCAACAACATTTAAAATGTCTGAATATAAAAGTCAGATCATATCGTAAATACTACACAAATAATGTACAAATATTTAATCTTTCATCTTGACTTACTGTTATCTTGACTTTGTACAGGATAGATAGGCAGCGTATCTTTGGTAGGCACAAACTCCCCCTCTTTATCCACTTTATCTTTTACATCTGAAGGAAGAAAATAACAAACTAAATTCAAATATTCGTGTTTTTAAAAAACTGTTTCCGTCTTCCAAAAGTAATCTCAAAGTATCTTATACTCTGTTAATAATTTGGTAAAGCAATACATTCATGGAATTTCACATTTAAACGTTAATCTTGATCTGATCATTTACATTGTTAGCAAAGACATCTGTTACACTGAATTTATGATCATATTTTTGTATGAATGTATCTGACAAAAGTGGTATTTCTTTAGTTATCTTGATTCCATACACTTTACTTGAACACATAAGTATGTGTGTTTTGTTTGTCCACTTTATAAACAAAAACTCTATGTATATATGTGATTTCTGTACAATAATCAATTATAAACGAACACCTTAGAATAAGACAGTAATCTGAATTATATACAAGCATATTGAATCATATACAAGTACATTGAATTGAATTATATACAAGTACCATAAATAATATACAACTATCTTATATGATATACAAGTACCTTAAAAATATACAAGTACCCTGAATTTTATACAAGTACCATAAAAATATACAAGTACCCTGAATTTTATACAAGTACCATAAAAATATACAAGTACCTTGAATTTTATACAAGTACCATAAAAATATACAAGTACCTTGAATTTTATACCTGACTGGTGTACACGTACCTTAAATGGTGTACAAGTACATTGAATGGTATACCAATATCTTGAATGGTATACCAACAACTTGAATGGTATATAAGGACCTTGAATGGTATACAAGTATCTCAAATGGTATGCAAGTACCTTGAATGATACGCAAGTACCTTGAATAATATACAAGAACCATAAAAAATATACCAGTCCCTTGAATTTTATACCTGACTGGTGTACAAGTACCTTAAATGGTATACAAGTACCTTGAATGGTACAGTGTATACCAATATCTTGTATGGTATACAAGTATCATGAATGGTATACTAATATCTTGAATGGTATACAAGTACCTTGATTGATATACAAGTACCCTGAATGATACATGTACACAAGTACCTTGAATAATATACAAGTACCGTGATTGGTATACAAGGACCTTGAATGATACACAAGTACCTTGAATAATATACAAGAACTTTAAATTATTCTGAAATATAATGATCACAAAATTTGGCTAAAAAGTATATCTATCTTAGAGTTATTTGGTCTCTAATATTCTCGAAGTTGTTACCATGGTGTATCCAAAGAGCAAGTTCATAAGATTCTTTTTATATATCCGGTTGAGTGAAAGCTTGTCCTTTGTGCAGTCAGTCTTAATTCTTATTAAGAGTCAAACAAGTTTTATTAGATTTACTCAGGGATTCTCAGGTGTAAAATTTATTTTGATAAATACTGGATGAATCAATTTTTTTCAGTTGCGGACGGCGGAAGCTATGCAGCTATCATACTTTTCGTGCGCGATATAATATTGTGCCGGAGCTCACCATGGTTCTCTCAGCACTAATTTAAGTTTGTCTTTATAATCATATTCAAGTATGAATATATTCCGCAAATATATGGAATAACAATTAACCGTGCGATACAAAAGTTTTGGCCATTTTATTTTACCGGAATTTTTCATAATAGAAATAACATCGTCTTCAATTAGCACAAAATATCGTCACCAATGCCATAATCAAGACCTGTATATATTAAAAGAAGAGACAAATGGTCAAGGAGGGTGGCCAATCTAGCCCCACCCATAAATCCCACAATATCCAGCGGCTAGAAAACCTGATAGGCGAAATACATCGTAATGGCACAAAGTTGGTCACCGCAAGAAAATGAGACGTTTTCATGTTCTTATATTTGAAAATAAATAATTTTATTTTCAAATGCTAAATTAAATATTGAAAATTCGAAAAGAACATTTATTGACCAATTTACACACCGCATACAAACACATGTAAATGGCGAAATAAACAATGACTTTTATTTAAGGTTTTATTCCAAAGTATGTTCATACATATTTATTAATGCAAGACATTCATATCTGGTGTATCTATAGATGATGTTATCCGGTTTTCAAATACCTGTGAGTTATAAAAGAAACAACAATATTATTCATTTGGCAACAGTAAAGTACGTATATATTTTCATTTTTTATACAAACACTAGACTTTACGGCTAGGTTATAATTTAAAAATTCCTTCCATTCTTTATTATGTGGTACAATTATCTTAAGTAGAATACATTTATGAAGTGTTAAAAGGACAACTCAACATAAAAATACCTTTACCCCTAAGCAAATAAACAAAATGACCGTTCATTCCAACAGTTAGGCAAGGAAAAAAAGGGCTACACATACATTTACGTAACCTTTAAGGACTTAAAAAATAAAAATAAAACTCATTAAATAAAGAAAGATTCTAAAAGAACACTTTATACCCTGAACATTTGACTGAAATTCAAAAAAATAACATTAATATTATTGCTTGAGCATTTGAAACGATGACCATTCTGTTTTAAAGTTTATTTTTAATAAAAATTATTTTTTTGAAAGAAGTTTGGAAAGCAGGGAGTGTAATTACGTATACAATCATTTCACCAACATATAATAATCGTATCATGCAAGGAAAAGGAGTCCAACATTCACAATTCACAACATGGATACCATATATACCATTACAAGCAGAGGTCGCGGTTGAAATTATGCCGAAAAAAACGATTTATCATTATTACTTTTAGTATTATTCTATAAAAACAGTGACAAGACACAAAAACGTCTTTAAATCGATATTTATACAGTAAATTATGGAAAGAGGAATCCAAATTTGTCGATATAATCACCAAAGTTATAAAACCAAACCGTTACCTAGGAAACGACGCGTCTCTGTGATTTTAAGGGATCTGTAGAGATGAAATGTACATTGTACTTAGTAACTTAAATATGCTCAACTTCAGAAAAAAAAGAAAAGAAAAAAAAGTAATAAAATAAAAATAATAGTAAAAAAAAAATCAAATAATGATAATTATAAATAAATGAATAAAATGATAATTAAAAAAAATGTTTCGTATAATTTGAAGTTCATGTAAGCGGAAATAGCTATTTGGCGTACACACCATGTAAAATGCATGTACAGTTTAATACTTTTGCATCTAAGATGAATGATATTGTATTTGCAGACGATAATTAGAACGCGCAAAAGTAGTTCCGACCTGATGTACAATTGAAGTCATACATAAGTTGAAAGTTTTCGTTATCCTGCCATTCTACTTCATAGTTGGGATTTGGAAGTGCAGTGCACGTGAGCGTTACCACCGATTTGTGTGACGCTCTTCCGGTGAAATGTTTCCCTGCATCACAAGTGACCTTCACCTGACTACTCATATGAGGCGGGTTTCCAGATATTTTTTCAACCGTATTGTCGTCTGTTTTAGTGTTTGGACACACCAGGTAGTCTAAATTTATAGTGAAGAACCAATGTTTAAACATGTCAAAATTGTTTCTAAATTCACTGTATACATAGATATTAAATTATTTTTTCTTTCATCATTTTAAACTTGGCATTATATTTTTCCAGTAACATGTTGGTTAAGGTATGACATAAGTAAAACTAGTCTAGCTTCCATGACTAACATACAAATGACGCAGAAACCTTTCTTAGATCTGTCTCGGATTCAGGGATTTTCATTGGTCAGTGCATATTATGTGCCGGTTTCTGACCAATCAAATACGTGATATCTGAGTTTGAGGTTTAAATAATTATTTATAACCCTAAACCAAGATCAAACGTCTAATAATCTCAATACTTGCTTAACGCTCAATATGTTTGTGAAAGGTCGAAAATGGAAAGATTGCTTCATTAAAATATTAAATTGTTACATTTTTTAAAATTATATTTACCATATTTGTCATTCATTATGATTCAACACCATTATGTATAAACAGCCTTGTTATTATGGTCGCCGAAAACAGTAAGTTTATATTCAAATATGATTAATGGCTGACTGAAAAATGCCAACAACTGAATATACCAAAAGAAAGAATTTGACAAAAACACACTAGGTGAAAAAATAAATCGTTACCTAGGAAACGACGTTGGTGTGCATAGCTAGGCTGATCTGTAGGGAAACAGAGACATGGCTTTTATAGTCCATAATAAAGTGCAATAATAATAATAATAATAATAATAATAACGATAATAAAAATTATGCTAACAATAAAAATAATAATAATAATAATAATAATAATAATATAATAATAATAATACATAAATAAATAAATAAATAATAATAATAATAATATTAATAATAATAACAAGAATAGATAAGAGTAAATAAAAAAAAAGATAAAACTTGAATGATATTCATTATTCAGTACATGAGCTCAAACTTTTAATCTATAAAAAAAACCCTCTATATTGCTATCATTAATTTCTATACTGTTCCCTCTTGACTTTAAATATCTTTCAAAATGGAAAGAATGTGAAAAAAAATACAGGTTGTATGACTCTGACATAAAAAAAAACTGTTGTAGTAAACAGTTTTCTCGTTTTATTGACAATTTCTACATTACTTATGTATCAGCCTTTTAAACAATCGAGCATTGGTTATCTTGGTTTGAGCTAATATTACCAAACCAAACTTCGTACACTGGTTCCTGGTATTTGAAGGACCGTGTAAACCATAATGTCATCTCAGTGACAATTGTACCATCTTTAAACAAGACGCTCAAAAGGGACGGTACACTTCAAAGTATAGTTAAAAGACGCCACTAGTTCTCTCCGATTTTAATTGGTACATGCATGTATCAGCAAACCCACAGTTACAGTATACCTCGGACTAACATACGGGGACGACGGAGAAAAATTAAAATGTCGCAAGTTTACACGACAATCAGAAATTACCGTTCTTAACCGGTTCTCAAATAATGGTACGGACCGGTACCTAGCCGTGTTCCCCGCTGGCTTATCGCGGTGTCCGTTTCGATAGCTATCCTATTCTATTTTTACGAGTCAATTAATTAAGATTTTGGCCAACGGT